AAGAATTTGGCCAGGTAGCAGGTTTTAAGCTGAATAAGATGAAAACTAAAGTTCTGGAGAAAAATCTGAATGTGATTGAGAGAGAGAAGTTTCAGAAGGAGACAGGTCTGACACTGGTTAAGAAAGTGAAATATTTAGGGGTCAATATGACTGCTAAGAATGTGAATTTATTTAAGGATAATTATGAAAAATGTTGGACTGAAGTGAAAAAAGACTTAGAAATATGGTCAAATTTGAAGCTATCGTTGCTAGGCCGAATTGCTGTGATAAAAATGAATGTATTGCCAAGAATGTTATTTCTGTTTCAATCACTGCAAATTTTGGACAAAATGGACTGTTTCAAGAAGTGGCAGAGAGATATTTCCAGATTTGTCTGGCAGGGCAAGAAGCCTCGTATAAAATTTAAGATTTTAACTGATGCTAAAGAAAGAGGTGGATTTGCCCTGCCAGACTTAAAACTTTACTATGAATCAGCCGCTTTTTGCTGGCTGAGAGAATGGATGCTTCTTGAAAATACGGATGTTTTGGATTTGGAAGGTTTCAATAATGTATTTGGTTGGCATGCATATTTGTGGTATGATAAGGTCAAAGCACACAAAGCGTTCAAAAACCATATTGTAAGAAAAGCACTGTTTAATGTCTGGATAAGATATAAGGATTTGTTAGAAAATAAAACCCCAAGATGGCTGTCACCTATGGAGGCAAAGGCCCAGAAAAAACTCAGTATGGAGGCCAAATGGCTGAAGTATTGGGAAATTTTGGAACAAGAGGGTGACAGATTAAAATTACAGAGCTTTGAAAAATTAAAAAACAGAGTGCGAGATTGGCTCCATTATTATCAAATAATGGAGGCATATAATCAGGATAAAAAACTAGGTTTTCAGGTGGAAAAATCAAAGCTGGAAACAGAATTGTTAGACCCTAAAGTTAGGAATTTGTCAAGAATGTATAACTTGCTGTTGAAATGGAATACTCAGGATGAAATGGTGAAATCTGCTATGATTAAATGGGCACAGGATGTTGGACATAATATTATGATGGCTGACTGGGAACAGTTATGGACCACTGGCATGAAGTTTACGGCATGCAATGCCTTAAAAGAGAATTTAATGAAAATGATTTACAGGTGGTACATAACACCAGTCAAGCTTGCAAAAATTTATCATTTGCCCGATAATAAATGTTGGAAATGTAATGAAACTGAAGGTACATTCTTTCACCTTTGGTGGACATGCCCAAAGATTAAGGCATTCTGGGAGATGATCTATAATGAAATGAAAAAGGTATTTAAATATACCTTTTTAAAGAAACCAGAGGCCTTTCTCCTGGGCATGGTGGGCCAATTGGTGCCAAAGAAGGACAGAGTTTTTTTCATGTATGCCACAACAGCAGCAAGAATACTTATCGCAAAGCACTGGAAGACACAAGATCTACATACCAGGGAAGAATGGCAGATGAAGCTGATGGATTATATGGAATTGGCAGAAATGACTGGCAGAATCCGAGACCAGGGAGAAGAGTCAGTGGAAGAAGATTGGAAAAAAATTAAAGTATATTTACAGAAATATTCTAAAATTAATGAATGTTAGAAGGATGCTGGAAAGAAGCTATATGACTTTAGTAGAAATATTATAAAAAATTAAGTATGAATAGATCGACATTGGGTAAAGGTGTAAATTTAAGCCTAAATTGCGTTAAGATAAATTATGGAACTAAATCTGAGAAAGAGGGAAAGGACTTGCTGGAATAATTAATTGAACTAGAATACAAAAAAGGAGGTGTGAGGAAGTCGAGGAAATAAGCAAATGAAAGATAAGGATATGAAAATACGGGGTTCTTTTTTTGTTTGTTTGTTCTTTTTTGGGTTTTTTAAATGCTTTTGTTTTTTCTTTTTTTCTTTTTTTGTATTGTTGATGTTTTGTATTACTGTATTTATTTTTGTTTTTGAGGTTTTGTAATTGTTTATTGCTTGTATTTTTCTTTTGTTCCTTTTTTCTTTTCTTTGTAATGTTTAAACTTTAATAAATATCTTATAAAAAAAATATAAAATATTTAGTTCCTATTACAATTGGAATCGTTTGAAATAAAAATAGAATTTTGGGGAGTATCATCATTTTAATCATAGATATTCTTCCTCCTAATGATAATTTTAGTTTTCCCCATTTATCAATACTTCCTTTAATTTCTTTCCATTTTTTGATATAATTATCCTTAAACAAATTTGTATTTTTATTTGTAATCCATATCCCTAAGTAGTTCACTTTATTTTTTATTTTTAGTCCTGTTGTTTCCTCTAATTCCTTTTTCCCTTTCTCGCCTATATTTTTAGTTATCAATTTCGATTTATCTTTGTTCAATTTGAATCCTGCTACTTCGCCAAATTCTTTCATTCTTTCTAATGCTTTTTTATACTTTCTTTTGGTGTTTTGGTTGTAATGATCACATCATCTGCAAATGCTCTTACTTTGTAGCACTGTGTACCAAGATATATGCCCTTTATTTCTTCGTCCTTTCTCAGAGCTATTAATAGGGTTTCTAATATTGTTATAAATAGGGGATAATGGACATCCCTGTCGTGTCCCTCTCTCGATGTCGAATTCTTCTGTAATTTCATTGTTTAGGATTAATTTGGCTCTTTGTTTTTTGTAAATTGCTTGAATTCCATTCATAATTCTTTTCCTAAATTGAAGCTTTCGCAGGTTTTGATCATAAATTTCCAAGAGACACTGTCAAATGCCTTTTCAGCGTCTACCAAAAGCATTGAAATTTCTTTACTTGGATTCATTTCGGCATATTCTATTAAGTCTATAATTATTCTAGTGTTGTCCTTTATTTGTCTGTCTGGCAAAAATCCTGCCTGATCTTTTTTAATTACCCTTTTTAGCAGAGTTTTCATTCTATTTGCAAGAACTCCAGTAAATATTTTATAGTCTATATTCAATAAAGATATTGGCCTGTAGTTTTTTATAAGTCTCAAATCCGTACCTTGCTTTGGGATAAGGGTTATCAATGCTTCTTGCCATGAATTGGGTATTTCTCCTTTGTCTAAAATTTCATTCATAATTAATTGTAATTTGGGTGTTATTATTTCCTCTAATTTTTTATAATATGTTACTGAAATTCCATCTGGTCCCGGCGATTTCCCATCCTTCATATTTTTAATCACTTTTTAATCTCTTCAAGTTCAATATTTGAATTTAAAATTGCAGATTCTTCTTCTTCTATATCTGGTAATCTATTTTCTAATAGGTATTTTTGGATTTTCTTTTCCTCTTTCAATTCTACTTTATATAATTTTTTGTAATATTTTATAAATCTTTCTTTGATTTGTTTTGGGTCAATAATTTCTTTTTCTTCGTCGATAATTCTATTTATTACTCTTTCTATCTGTCTTTCCTTAATAAACCATGCCAGCATCCTACCTGGTTTATTTGCCTGTTCAAAATATCTTTGTTTTGTCCATGTAATTTTTTTTCTCAACTTCTCTATTTATTAAATTTGATAGGTGGGTTTGTAAGTTCTTTATTTGTTGGAGGATATCTTCATTTTTTGGGTTTTTCACTAAATCTTTTTCTTTCTCTCTTATTTATTTATTTCCATAATATTATTATATTTATTTCTCCTTATCCTTCCCATTTTTTGTATTACATACACTTTCATTTAGGCTTTACTCGCTTCCCAAATCATTTTTTTATCCATTTCCTGATTTTCATTTATTTCATAGAATTCTTTCAATATTTCCTTAGCCCTTTTAACCCTTTGATCATCTCTCCATACCTCCTCATTCATTCTCCACCTTCCCTTAGTATGATTTTGAAATTTCATATATACCATTACTGGATTGTGATCTGATATCGATCTATTCAGTATCTCTGTGTTTTCTAAACTCAACATCAACTTTTTTGACAGCCATATTTTGTCGATTCATCCCCCAGATTTTTTCGCCTCCGAGTAGTGGGTTATGTCTTTAGCACTTGGATTTTTTGTTCTCCAGGCTTCATATAAATTAAAATTCTCAATTAAGTGGGAAAAGGAGAGTGGTAATCTACCTGAACTCGACGTTTTGTCTCTTTGCGTTCTGTCCATTTCTATCGATGTCACCCCATTAAAATCTCCCATAATTACTATATTTTCGTCCACATAATCCCATAATCTCTCTTCCAATTTTCTAAAAAAATCATCTTTTTTACTATTCGGAGCATATATTCCCACGACTATGATTTCTTTTGTTTGTATTTCTACTCCTACTACTCTACCTTCATCATCTTGAAATAACATTTGAGATTTCAACATTGTATTTACATAGATGACCACTCCCCTCTTTCTTTCCGTTCCAGATACTATATATTCCTGTCCTAGTCTCGTATTTTTTAACACCCTTACATGAGTTTTGGATATATGTGTTTCTTGTATACATATGACATCCCATTTTTTCTTCTTTAATATACATTCTAACCTATTTCTTTTAAGTTTGCTGTTCAATCCATTTATATTCCATGAAATACATTTCAGCCTCATAATCCTTTATTTGCTTAAAATACTCACAACTTTACTATTATTGTATGGTTATAGTCCGGAGTAAACCAATGTCCAAAGGTCACGTTGAAAAGGGAATAAAAGTTTCCGTCTTGCCCTTCTTGCTTCACTCTACCAGTTTTTCTCCTCCCAATTCCTCCCAGTACTTCCTCCAAAAGATTTTTGTAGCTTCTACTGATCTGAAGGATCTCCTCCTGTCTTTATATGTAAATGACAGTCCCTCTGGGAATTCCCATTTAAACCTTATTTTGTTTTTCTTTAGCGCTGATGTCATGAATCTATAATTGTCCCTCCTCCTCAACAGGCGTGTTGGGATCTCTCTCATAAATTCTACATAGCTCCCTTCTATGCAGAGTGGGTCTGTCCTGCCTTTCAATAGTAGTTTATCTCTAAGCAGGCTTGAATTTAAAAACATCAAGCAGTCTCCAGGTCCTTTCCTTGTTTTGGTCTTGTTCACCTTTATTCTAAATATTTTTTTCAATGTCCAATATCATCTCTTGTTCTTGAACCCCCAGCCATTCTGCTATTGCCTTTGTCAATTTTGTCAATATGTCTTCATCTTGATTTTCCTTGACACCGCGTATGCAAAGAATCATTTCTTTTTGTTTCATCTGTAAGATGGCCAAGGAATCCCAAGTGTCTTCCTGTATCTTCCTCAGTTCATCTATTTCTTCTTTAATTTTTTCTTGGTGTCTTTTCATTTCTCTTTGTTCTTGCAAGCTCTTTTTCATACTTTCGTCCTGCTTCTGTACTTTTATTTTGGTCTCCTGGACTGTTTGATCTAAATTTTGGTGTTTCACTGTCAGTTGGTTCACATGGGTTGAGAGGTCCATTATCACTTTGGAATTCTTTTCTATTTTCGCCCCCATACTTTCCATCTTCTCGTCAAGCATTCTTATATTTCCTTCCAGAGCTGTTATTTTTTCTCCTAGATTGTTCTCCATTCTTTCCATTGCTGCCAATATTTCTTTCATGTCCATGTTATTTTCACTTTCTGCTAGTGATATTCTTCTTTGGTAGCTTTGCGATGTGCTGGCACCACTCAGATTTGATATTTTCTTTGATCCCATCATGCTGTTGTATTTTTTTATTCTTTCTTTCTTTATAATTGTAATGGATTTAGGGGTTGCTCGTGCGTAAGTTGCCGCCACTCCTGGCTAGGTTACCTGGTTAAACCCTTTCTGACTGAACACCCTCTAGCATCGTGACTGTCTCAGTCGCTGGCAGAATCCGTCAGTGGGCGTTTCTTAAACTTCTTCCAGCACAAAAGTTCTTTGACGCCTAGTCTCCGCCTAGACTCCCTGCGCGGAAGCCTTCTGCGCAGGGAGGGTGTGGGCAGCGGAGGACCCGTACTCTCTCCGCTGGTCTCCGGTGAGGAGTCTTGGAGCCTCCTCTCCGATTCCCCCATCTGCCCCCCTTCTCTACTGGTGTTACGCTGATTTCCTTCCCCAGCGGACGGGCTGCCTCTCTCTCTACTGGGACCCTCTCCGGCATCACTCTGGAGCCTTCCCTCCGCCTCTAGCTCCGATGGCAGTTCCCTGACATCCATCTCCCCCCCCCAGGACCCCCTCCACCCTCGGCCCGACCTTCTGATCCAACCTCGTCCCTTTCCTCAGCTGATGATGCGGGGAATCCCCTGAAGGAGCTGTCGCCATCCTCTGAGGATTCAAAACCCGCTTCCCACCCGCTCCGAACTCTTGCCGCGGGGTGGGCCTCCTAGTCTGATTCTTCTCCCTCTGACACCTCCCCTCCCTCCTCTTCGGAGGCAGGAAAACCCACAAATTCCTCTTCATCGTCTGTGGTTCCAAATTCTTCCTCCCAGAATCTCGCTAGTGGTTTCGGTTTGTCTGGGAACAGGCTGTGGAATTCTTCCACTAGATACCCATCACTGATCGCCTCAGCGGGAACCCACGTGTTTTCTGACTTGGGTTCTCCTTCCCAAGCTACTAAGTACTCCACCTGGTGCCCTCGCCACCTTGAATCGAGTATTTCCGTGGCTTGGTTGTGGAGTTCCCTCTCCTCTACCCGCAGGTGGGTGGTGACTCCTCCCTCCCGCCCCAGGAATTCCCGCCCCTCCCTGTACGGCGAGAGTAGGGACCTATGGAACACCGGATGTATCTTCATGCTGTCAGGCAACTTGAGCTTGAATGCCACAGGGTTCACCTGCTGTGTTACCTCAAAGGGTCCCAGCCGCCTTGGCTGCAACTTCTGCACCCTCCCTTTAGGGGTAACCCTTGGGTTGACAACCACACTCGGTCTCCCACCCATATGGCCTCCCCCTCCCGACGGTGCTTGTCTGCCTGCCTCTTGTAAACTTCCTTGGCCCGCTCCAAGTTCATCTTGAGTTGCTGGTGTAAGGCCTCCATTTCTTCCACAAACTGCTCTGCCGCAGGTACACTCCACCCTTCCTCCCCCCTCCCCGGGAAGGCCCTGGGGTGACACCCATAATTGGCCATGAACGGGCTCATCCCCGTGGACACATGTTCAGCGTTATTGTACGCAAATTCAGCCAGCGCTAGTTTCTCTACCCAATCGTTCTGTCTCTCGCTGACATAGCAGCGTAGGTATTGCTGGAGTATACTGTTTGCTCTTTCTGCTTGCCCGTTGGTTTCCGGGTGTCGCGCCGTCGAGAAGCCCACCTCTACCTGCAGCAAGCTCATGAGCTTCCTCCAGAACCGGGAAGTAAATTGTTTCCCGCGATCTGAGATGACCCCGAGGGAGCCCCATGCAACCTGAAGATGTGATCCACAAACAACTTGGCTGTCTCCTCTGCCGTCACCGCATGTGAGCAAGCTATGAAATGGCACATCTTCGTCAGTAGATCGACTACTACCATGACTTCTGTCTTCCCCCTTGACTTGGGCAAATCTGTCATAAAATCAATGGAAACCACCTCCCAGGGTCTTCCCGGCTTGGGTAAGGGTTCCAGTAACCCTGCGGGGGCAGCCCTCTCCCCCTTTGCCCTTTGGCAGTGGTCGCACCCCCGTACATATTCCCGTACATCTTCCCTCACCCTTGGCCACCAGAACTGCCTGGTGACGAGCAGCATGGTTTTGTGCTGTCCAAAGTGCCCAGCTGTAGGGTTGTCGTGGAGTTGTTTGAGTACCTTCCCCCTCAAGGTCTCCCCCGGTACATACAGCGCCCCCTTATAGTACAGCACCCCTTCCTTTTCCTCAAACCCTCCATTGACTTCCCTTCCGTCCCTGAGTTCCCTGATTTTCGCCTGAGCAAACTCATCGTGCCTGGTGAGCCCTGCCAGTTCCCGTTTCCCAACCAACGCTCCCCCCCACACACCTATCCTCGGGGAACACGTGCCTGGTCTCTGGGGGCCCCTCTCCTTCCATGTACTCCAGTTTCTGGGAGAGAGCATCTGCCCTTACGTTTTCCTCTCCCGGCACGTATCGGATCTCGAAGAAAAACTTGGCGAACTCCTGGGACCATCTGATCTGTCTCTGGTTGAGCACTCGCACGGTCCGCCAGTATTCCAAGTTCTTGTGGTCCGTTCTGACCTGGATCTTGTGCCGCGCCCCTATCAATAGATGTCTCCATTGCCGAAATGCCGCATAGATGGCAAGCAGCTCGCGGTCATACTCGGTGTAGCTTTGTTCTGACTTGCTCATCCTTTCTGTTTTTGGGGGCTTTCCATTCCAGCACTGCCTGCACCTTGCTTGGGTCCATAGCTAGGCCCTTGTCTGACAACTTGTACCCCAGAAACTCGACCTCTCTGGTGTGAAATTGGCATTTTTCCAGCTTGACCCAGAACTGATGCTTCTGCAGCCTCTTTAGCACTTCCCTGACGTCTCTGACATGTTGCTTCTCATTGTCCGAATAGATTAAGACGTCGTCCAAGAAGGCTACGCAGTTCTTGTACAGCAGGGGCCCCAACACGTGGTGCATGAATGCTTGAAAGCAGGCGGAGCCCGATTGTAATCCAAATGGCATGACTAAGTACTCAAAAGCCCCCAGGGGGGTGAACATGGTGCTTTTCCATTCATCCCCCTCCCTTACCCTGATCAAATTGTATGCTCCCCTGAGGTCCAGCTTGGTAAAAATTTTCCCCTGCCTCACCCGTGTTAAAATGTCGTCAATCCTGGGCATTGGGAAGGTCACGGGTTCTGATACCAGGTTTAACGCCCTGTAATCTACGACTAATCTAGGCTGATTAGTCCCTTTTTTGTCCACAAAGAACACCGGACTGCCCCCCACCGCCTTTGATTCCCTTATGAACCCCCTCTTCAGGTTCTTGTCAATAAACTGCCGTAACTCCTGCATCTCCCGGTCCGACATGGAATACAGCTTACCCACCGGCAGCTGAGCCCCAGGGAGTAAGTTGATTTGGCAGTCAAAGGGCCTATGGGGGGGGTAGTCTATCCGCCTCCTTCTCGCTGAAGACTTCCTTTAGGTCAGCATATTGTGGTGGCACCTCCCCCTTTGTTTCCACCGCCAGCCCAGCCACCCTGGCCACTGTCATTCTTGGGGTTCCCCCCCCCCAGACAGTGTTCCAAGCAGTAAGCTGACCCAAAGGTGACTGACCGCTGATGCCATGACACTACTGGATCATGCAGTGCCAGCCAGCTCATCGCCAGTATTATTGGGGGTCCTGCCAGTGTGGCCACATGAAAGGCAATGGTCTCTGTGTGCCTGGAAACCCTCATTCGCATTGGCGGGGTCTGGTGTGTCACTTCCCCTCCCAGAAGTTCCCTGCCATCGATGGTGGTCACTTGCAAGGGAAAATCCAGGGGTAGCAAGTGTAGTTGGTGCTCCAAAGCGAAGTCCCTGCTGAAGAAATTGCAGGAGCTGCCCGAATCCAGCAGCCCCTCAACCTTGACTGGGTGCCCATTCGGGAGTTCTAGCACCACTGCTATGGCTATAGCTGCCCTGGGGGGGGTCAGGCTGGGGCACTTCTATTGGTTGCTGGCCTGGCTGCTGGCCCCTCTGGTTGGCAGCCAGGCGTTGTCGTTCCCTGCGCCTGCCCTTCCTCCCCCTTCTCCTCACAGCCAGCAGCCCCCACCATCCCTTGCCAGGCCTTTCTTTGAGGGCAGACCCTTGCAAAATGTCCCGGCCGTTGGCAGAGGAAACACTTCTTGGTGGTTTTCCAATCCTTCCCCTCCCTCTTGCGACCTTCACTGGAGTTTGAAACCTCGCACGCGCCATCTATTTCCATTGGCTCAGCCGCCTGGGAAAGCTGTCTCGGTATTTCAGGAATGCAGTAGTCATGGCAACGTTCCCCTCTCACTTCGCGTTTCTCCTGAGCCCGCGTTTCCTGCCTCACTCCAATCGCAAGCACAGCCTTGGTCAGCTGATCCATCGACTGTGGGCGGGGCGCGCAGGACAGCTCGTCCTTCACCGTTCGGGACAACCCCTCCTCAAAAAACTTTTTAATTGGTTCAGAGTCCAGATCCCACCCGAGACGGTGGATCAACATTGCAAAGCGCGACCAGTAGTCTCTAACTGACTGGCGCCCCTGCTTGCACCCCATCAGTTCTCGCCGAGTCACACTTTGCTGCACTTCACTGGAATACATCACATCCATTGCCTGAAATAATTTCTTAAGGTCCTTCAAGGCATGATTTTGCGTCTCCATAAGGGGCCTGATCCATTCCCGTGCCCCATCCTCCAGATGCCCCACAATGTAGGCTACCCTTTGCCCATCGTCAGCAAAGTCATCAAGCTGCAGTTCCAAAGCGTACTCTATTTCCGTTCAGAACACATTGTAGTCCTGGGGTTTCCCCCCAAACTTGTGTACCAGCCCCGCGGGGTACCTTCCTTGCGATGGGGGTGGGTCTGACCTGAGCATCCTGAGTTCATCTTTCGTCCAGCTGCGCCGTCAGGAGAGCTACATGCTGTTCCAAGTCTCGGTTTCTCTCTACCAGACCTTGCACTCCAGCTGCTTGCTCCGTCTCTCCGGCTTCTCTGGTCTGGCTCATCGTGCTGCCTCTCTGGAGCTGCGCACAAGCAACGTCGGGGACTGACGGATTGCTGTAATGGATTTTTTTTTTTTTTAATGATATTTATTAGATTTTCAGAAAGAAAAAAAAAGAATTACACAAAAACAAGAAGAGTAAAAAGAAAA